TGGATAGATGAATGCATGAATAGATTAATGAGAGGGTGGGTTGGTGAGTAAATGAATTTTAAAATGTTCTTTTGGCTCCAAAGTCACAAAACTGGGTCCAAAACACAACTATTCTCCAACCCATTATCACTCATATCCCTTGTATTTCTGAGAAAGCATTTGTAATTTCAATTTACATCTTGAAAGACAGAGGCTCCGTCATTCATTCTGACCACAGTCCATGCATAACAAAAACCATATCCAAGACACCAGCCCTGCAGATAATCCTCTGAGTTCCAGACCTGCTGTGCTTAGAAGCCTGCAAATCCCCTTTCCTGGAGCAGCACTGGGGACATCCTTGGAGGTTTGGAGTGATTATGATGATGGGCTGGCAATAACTTTTACTGCAGGCACCAACAGAACCTAAGTTGTAGCTAAGGCTGCCAGCTGCTGTTCTAGAGATTTCTCCTTAGGCTCATCATCTGCAGCCAAACCCAGGAAGCAACAAGATGAGAAAAATCCCACAGAACACAGAAATCAGGCTGAGGGTACCCTGGAGGCATTTGTGGCTCAGAACAGAAGCTCGGGGTGCTGACCTAGTGAGGCCCGTAGTCCAGTCCTCTGGCTGACCAAGAATGTGACTGTAGGAAAGGAAGAAGTAACAGATAGTCTATCCTCTCTGAGAAACTGCTCCGAGCCAGTGGACAGATTTAGAACAGATGTAGAAAGGCCCCTGGAGATGTGACACTAAAGTCAAATCCATTGCCAATGATCCTCCCAAATCCCCCAAGTTTCCAAATGTTTAACATGCTGGATGTGAAAGAAGAAAAGAACTAGCCAGTGCATGGAGGTGCCTCCTCCCAGTGATCATGCAGATGGCCTCTGACTGTGTGCCATAGGAAATTTCCAAGGACCAGGCCTGGACAGCAAGTGGCACCTCCACCCCCTCCAGGGTCTCCTGGAAAGGTCAGCCTACATTCCCTATTGCAAAATGGAAAAAGCTATTAAGAGGGAGGTATATATTCAGGAACATTCACCAGGCTCCGAGTATTTTCAAGTAAAAGGCCGTTCTATAGGCCGTTTTCTAGTTTGAGATTTGGAGCAGGCTCAAGGTATTGATGGAGAAATAGCCATAAGGGAAATTTATCTGAACTCTGGCCCCTGGCACCCAGATCAAGCAGAGGCCACAGAAACTGGCTGGTGGGGACAGATCTCAGCTGATCCCTGCCCAGGAAAAACCCAAATGGCTGTTCTCACACTGTCTATGACATGTCCCTGTTCATAAACCCTCAGGAATTGCTGTGTTGGATTATCAAAATTACCCCTTCAGCTCTTAGATATAAGAAAACCAAGGATCAGAGCAGACAGAAAGGGTCAGAACCATGTCTAAAATCCTGGAGCTCAGATCCATGACCTGTGCTTTTTGCAGCTATTTAGGGAGACAAATGTGGCTCGAATCCTGACCATAAGGTTTATTAGTATGTGACCTTGACCAAGGTACCTACCTGCCCTGGCCCTTACTTTTCTCATCTGTAAGATGAGAACATACAGGTATTAACAGAACTATACAAAACTGTTTTGCAGGTCACAAACAATTTAAACTTACTAATTTTATATGGCTGAACATAATGCTTACCAATGAGTTGGCTGGCTTGTCTTTGGCAGAGAAGGGGCCTAAGAAACAATTCTATTTTTTACCATTTACTATCCAGATGTGAATCACACTGTAACCCTCAGCATATGAAGGCAACCTTTTCCCACAAAAGCAGACAGGTGACTCCAGTGCAGTCTCCCTTGAGACTCTAGTTGGTGCAGTGGCAGGAGAGGATTCGTACCAGTCTGAATCAGGGATCTATACTTAGAACCTGAGGCTCAGAATTGTGGTCAGAGCAAGGACCACATCCTGGCCTTCTATGAACATCAATCAGGTCTGGCACCTGGCACCTCCACATCAGGCTATCAGCACTGTGTTCTCTCCACACAAGTACATACCCAGCATACCCTTCAGGACAATGCCTAGCCAGCTGGCACTCCAGCTGCAAGTACCCATGACCTAATACAGAAACCCTTGGATCCAAACAGACCAGCCTGGCTGAGGAAGAATGTTGTCACTGGCTCATGATCCAGCATCCCTCCTCCTATCTACCTACTTGGAAGCTTATGGATCCAGAGGCATCCCATCCACCAAAGTCCTCTCAACAAGATCTAGTACTGCCCATGCCAAATGTCCAAAGAATACTCAGTGGGTCTTGGTCTTTTCATCTTTACTTCTGTGCCCTCTCTCAGAAGCAGCAAGCTAGCAAAACTGTTCTTCAGTCTGGCTTATCAGCAATGAGGGGATTCTTTTTTAAAAATTTTAGATGCTGCACAGAGAGGTTACAGTTGCATCAGTAAGCTAAAGAGTACATTTCATGTTGGGCATTGTTACGCCCCTCCTTGGTTTTCTCCCACTATCCCTTCCCTCCCCTATCTCCTCAATTCCCCCCCCCCCCCCCGCAAAATTATAAGGTTGATTTCCAACATAGTATCTTATGAGTATTGCTTCAATTGTCATTCTGTGTCCTTGTTTCAGCATTTTGTTATTTCCCTTCCCCTCCCCAAATCAGATAAATGTATATACAAGATGCAAGGTACCAAAATCAAATACAGTGACAACAGGGATATACCACAGGAGGGAGACTATATAAAAGAAACCAAGAAAATATTGCATGGTATATTAAAAACAACAAAGAAAAACCTCTTGTGTCCTTATCTTGGGGTTCATTTCACTTAGCATCATCTGTTCATCTGCTAAGATTATCCTAGAAATATACTATTTATTGCAAATAAGGGAAACCATGAGACCTATATTTTTTGGGGTCTGGCTTACTTCACTTAATATTTTTTTCCAAGTTTTACCATTTCCTAACAAATGGGGCAGTGTCATTCTTTCTGATGGAAGCATTTTGTGTGTGTGTGTGTGTGTGTGTGTGTGTACACACACACACACACAAATACATATATATACCCTACATTTTCTTGATCCATTCATCTACTGAGGGGCATCTGGGTTGGTTCCATATCTTAGCTATGGTGAATAATGCTGCAATAAACATAGTTGTGCTGGAAGCTTTAGTGTGGCCTTGTTTGTGATCATTGGGGTAAATGCCCAGAAGTGGGATTGCTGGGGCCTAGGGGAGCTCTATGTATAGTCTTTTCAGGTGAGGGGATTGAGTTAGAGGAGCTAGCCACAATCATGGGGATGCACCTCCACAGCTTTCTTCCTGTATATCCCATATACCTGTCTAGTCCTTTTACCACCTCTTGGTCCACTCACACATGCTGTGCTTGTGCTCTTCTTTGTGGAGCCTCCACAGTACTCTTGCACTAAGAAAATACTGCCTATTATTATGGTCACTTGTGTATAGACACAGCTGCCTAGCCCTGGCCCGAGGCATGAGAAAACTAGTCTTACAAAAAACTTACTCAATAGACATTATATTGAAAATGAACTATACAGCCCGTGGGTAGGGACAGAAGGGAAAAACTGGGAGAGAGTCAAGAAAGGGGTGACAATGTTCAAAAAGAAAAGTACACATTACCTGACTTACAAAACGGTAACTCCTTCATACAACACCTTTATAATAACCGTTTGAAAATATTTAAAGAAATCTAGACAGGACTAGGAGGATGAAGTGGTAGAGCTCTATTTAGCACTCTGTTCCACCTCTCTTCTTTTTCCATAGTGGACACAGACAGCTTGGATACTGGAACTGTTCATTAATTTATTGCCACCTCCCTCACTAGAATAAAATGAGGACAGAGACTCCAATTTGCTTGCTGAAACAGCTCAGGCATCTAGAACAGTGCTAGCTACAAAACAGATAGTCATTAGCTATTGCATGAATGTGTGAATTCCATTCATACTTACCTCTGTGAGTTATCACCATCTTCTGAAGAAGAGACAAAGGCTCAAACAGATTGAGTGATTTGCCCTGGCTCCCAGCTAATGAGGGCAGAATCAGAACCCGAATCCAGACCTCCTGCCTTTAAAGTTCAGGCTGCTTTGGCTCCCTACTTGAACTCCCTTGTGTCTGTCACAGCATCCAGTACAGATGCTGACCTGTCATAAAAATCTGTATGTAGGGGGTGCGGGGGGGGGGGGGGGGGGGGAGGCTGGGAAGGGATGGGAAAGGTAAACAAAGGAGGAGGCTACAATGCTTGATAAGAAATGTACTCACTATCTTGCCCATGTAATTGTAACCCCTCTGTACAGTATTTTCACAATAAAAAATTAAAAAAAAATCTGTATGTGGCCGGGCACTGGTGGCTTACACCTGTAATCCTAGCTACTCAGGAGGCTGAGATCTGAGGATCACGGTTCAATGCCAGCGAGGGCAGGAAAGTCCATGAGACTCTTATCTTCAATTAACCACCAAAAACTGGAAGTGGCACTGTAGCTTAATTGGTAGAGTGCTAGCCTTGAGTTGAAGAGCTCAGGGACAGTGCCCAGGCCCAGAGTTCACGCCCCACAACCGAACAAAAAAAATCTATATGTGTCTGTGTACAACACCCAGTACAGATGCTGATCTGTCATAAAAATCTGTGTGTGTGTGTGTGTGTGTGTATGTGTGTTTGCTGGTACTGGGGCTTGAACTCAGGGCCTTGTGCTTTTGTTTGTTTTTTTTGCTCATGGCTGTTACTCTATTACTGGAGCCTTGCCTCCACTTCTAACATTTTACTGGTTAATTGAGTCTCTCAGATTTGTCAGCCCATGCTGTCTGTGAACTGAGATCCTCAGATCTCAGTCTTCTGAGTTGCTAGGGTTAGCACCCAGACGTAATTATCTTTTGCAATCCTGGAAGAAGGCTTGTGCATTCAGTTCCTATTCACCAGAGGCAGAGCCCAGGTCTCCCAATGTAGCCAGGACAGCCAAACCCAAGCCTGTCTTGCAAGGAGAAGGAAAGTATAGACAAGAATTACTGCCTTAGGGGACATCCCTGGGATGCAACCCCTCCCCCAGGTCAGAGGTGCAGGCTTACCATGGACTCACTGATGAGCAGCAGTAGGAGGGCCTCCTCTATGTTATCCTTTGGGCAGTAGAGACTGGAAGACACAAACAGCAGGTCTGGCTAAGGCCCAGCCCACACCATCAGCACCTCCAGCCCTTGTGTGGGCCTTCTGCCCCAAGGCAGACTAGCCTAGTAAAGTGACCCTCTTCTGCATAATTCACAGGCACTGGATACCATAGACAGCTCTTAAATGGGCCCCAGAGTTCTATATCTGAAAGGGCAGAGACACTCCTGGGGGAGGAAACAGCCTGATGAACCCTAAGCACTAACTGAAGCATGCGGACAGACATGGGGAAACTAAGTAACAATTCTTTAAATTGTGACAGTCCTATCTTCAATTTTAGGCTCAACAAGGCAGGGATCTATCAGAGAAGACTATCAAGAAGGCAAGAATCTCCAAGTACCATGTAGCCTGAGGGTGCCTTGTAGAATTCTCCCTTAAACCCACTCTAAAGCCATGGTACAGGATGAAAGGGAAAGACTGTAGGATGGAGTAAGGAGCCACCAGAGGGGCACAGATCCTATGCACAATGTGAGCCTGGCCTGCTCCAACAGGACGGAGGTGAGGTGTGGGGGGGAGGACTTACTTGTCCCCTTCATAGAGGTGAGGTTTCCGCAGGGCCTGTGTGACAAAGGAATTCTCTTCCTTGTTCATGAACTCAGGCAGAGGGTGGGACAGGGGGCTCCAGTAGCACTCTTCACTCAGAGAATGCAGCAAGACCCCTGCTAGATGCTTGGCTGCCATCTGGAAGAGAGGGAGGAACTTAGAGGGGCACTGTTGAGCTAATACCCAGCTCCATTTTCTTCCCTTTACCATCTAGCCAATCCGCCTGTTTTACAGTACATTGCTATCTTGGAGGCCCCCATAACTCGACTCCCAAGAGTCCACCCCCCAACCATTGGCCATCTTTCCTCATCTCTCTCTTCTCCTTGGAAGACACATTTCCTCTTCCTCCTGACCCCCAAGTAGCTCAGCATAACTGAGAACCCACAGGCCCTTCTAGAAAGGGCAGAAGGCTAAAGGCACAGGCAGTATTCTCTACCACATGGCTGCCTCAGATTCTGAAAGCTGACTGAAAACTCTAGCATGAAAAGTAGTTTGTGACTCTGACTTTGGTGGATCTAAGGTCTAAGAATACAAGCTTGAATTGGAGCAAGAAAGCAGAGCCAATGGCATTTATTAGATCATAAACAAATTCCTGAGAATGAGCAATACCACTTTGCTTTGCTCATGGGAAGAGTGGAACAGCAGATCTCAACTCTGACCTAACCGCTAGGGGCTCTGATGCCAAGGGGGCTTCCTGGGCTGAGTGAGAAAGAGCTCTAGGACTAATGAACAATGTCTGCTCCAAGCAAGGAAGGGTACATGCAGGCACGTAACACACTGCCATCTCTAGATCTAGGGCTATCTGTTATCTCCCACCAAACACATCAGTCACAGACAGTAGCCACAATACCACTTTGAAGTTCTGTGTTGCTTTGGTCTCCACAGTCCGCAGAATTTCCCGGAGCTCCCTCATTCCCTTCACGATGTTTCTGGAGGAAAACAACAGAAGCAGGTTGTCACCAACCTAGCTCCAGACACCCTCCACAAGCAGCAAACCCAAGGCAAGGCTGTCAGTGTGAGTTTTCTTTGAATACCTCAGTCACTGGGATGAAAAGGCAGAGTTGTAACTCCCAGTCTACACACCTGGACATTAAGAAGCAAAGAGGAGGAAGGACTCTTCTCTCCTAAAGCCCTCAGCAACTCAGTTTCTGGTATACCACCAAAAGAGTACTCAGACTGAGTACTGCAAACAAGATGGCATCTTGCCCAAGTGTTTTGAGCTATGTCAGATTTTCTGAGTTGAGTCAGCCTCAATTCTCCATCTTTCACCTGCTGAATTCAGTCCATACTGGAATCTACCCTCACTTCTGGACTGCCTTATCCTGCCAGCCTGGCCCACTCCCTCCCATCAGCCCTTTGTGCCTTGACATGATAAGCAGGATTGTCTCAGTGTGACTCACAGCAAGAAACATATCTCACATTGCAGTACAGTGTTTGCATATGCTTACACAAAACAGGTTTCTTGACACAAAACTACATACAGTCAACTCTAACATTTTCCATTAACTTTTCCCCCTACTCCACTTTTTAAAAGCACAGGTTGCAGTCCACTAAGCTTATTTTACAACTCATTGTAAAGTGGGAGCTTTAAAAAACAGCTGCCACTGACACTGGAGGTGTGTAGATGACAGGCAAAGGCTAAAGCCCTGGATACCTGGGGGGAATCCTCTCATGACCACCTAGGGCTGAGAGAATCCAGCTGGCTCTCGCGCATGACCTGCCAAGACTGTCAGGCTGCCCCTCATCTCTGCCCCTTCTCAGCAACCACAACTCAAGCAAATCATTTCTGGATGATGTCTAGTCTTGAGGCAGGCTTCTCCACTGCCTTCAACAGTCCTACCTTCATCATCCAAAACTCAACGTTACTACTTCCTCCATGAAGTCAGACCATTCCCATGCCTGCTCACCATGCCTACTAATTCCCCTTCTGAAGCTAGAGAGAAATGACCTATGGGGTCACTTTCCATGGAATAAACTGGCTTGATACCAGCACTCTATGCCTTCCTGAGGCTCATCCAGAAGCTCAGCTCCATTCAGCTCCTACTATGAAGCAGATGTCTGAGGATGGCCCGGCTCAGGGGGTTCCCTGGATCACACCACAAATGGAAAAGCAGAGGCTGCCAGGACAGCAAATATAAAAAAGGAAGAATGCAGAGGGAGGCAGGCTAAAGCTGGCAGCCAAGGATGCCACAGGAGGCTCTCTTCACCTCTCCAAGGTTCCCAGATTTGGGGCTTAGGAGCCCTAGAGGACAATTTTACAGATCAAGACTTTTGCTAAAAAAAATATGCGAACTACTAATATTATAAATGTAGATGTTTATGTTTAGGGCTGAGAATGACAACCTTCCAAGCCTGTCCAATGTTTTGAAGACTCAGGGGTAGAGAGCAGGACAGGGAACCTCTTTAGAGCTGGTTCAAGTCCAGATGCTGCTTCTGTGGCTATGTGACCCAGGAAAGCAGGCTCACCTCTACAGGCCTCCTCATCTGTAAAATGAATACTTCTTGTTTAGCTTAGTGTCTCCCAGGCACTATTTTTTTTTTTTTTTACCACTAGCTCACATACCTAGTAGTATTATTCATTATTATATAACTTCATTTATATCTTCTTTCTTTTTATTTTAGTAGGTATCTCATCTTAATAAAAGACACTAGAAACCATGGGTTGTGCTAGTTGTTTTCTTTGCCTAGATATTAAAGAAGTAATGTTTAAGCTGGGCGCCACTGCTCACACCTGTAATTCTAGCTACTCAGGAGGCTGAAATCTGAGGATGGAGGTCTAAAGCCAGCCCAGGCAGAAAAGTCCATGAGACTCCACAAGCCCCAGGACTGACCAAAAAACAAACAAAAACAAAAGTAGAAGTTAGTATATCACTTAAAACTACCTTGTATATCTCTATACAAGGTTGAGACCAGCCGTTTTCAAGGTGTGCACATTCCTCACCCTACCCCCCACCTCAGAACAGCAGTATCATTATCCTAAGAACTTCCTGGAAATGCAAATTCTGAGGCCTCCAAAATGCTGAATCAGAAACTCACGTGCGGTCCAGCATTTGGGGTAGTTTTTAACCAAGTCTGCAAGTTTGGGAGCCATTAGCCTTGACAATTCCCAGAGATCAGTCCTCCTAGTCTAAGCCAGGTTTCAGAAGGAATAATCTGGCAATGAAACTGAGTGGTGCATTTAGTGGTGCATTAAATCTATACCCTTGGGAACACAAGGGTAAATGCTAGTCTCCTAAGGGTCTGGAGGATTCATCTTTCCCCATAGAGTAGCCAGGAAGAAAACAGACACAAAGTCCAAGCACATCTAGGTATGTAGTAGCAGCTCACAAAATACTATTTTCCTTTCTCCTTCTCATCTGGAGCTTACCAATGTTTTAACTAACATTGTTTTGCACAGAACTAATGACTAGGGGAGCTGACAGAAGTACCAAATAGGAGTCCTCCAGCTTTGTGTCATCTGCTTCCTACCAGCCCCAGTCCTAGCCACAGCCACAGAGATGACACAGGATTCCCTTGGGCTGGGAAGGTGGCTCAGTGGTAGAGTGCTTGCCTTGCATGCATGAGGCCCTGGGTTCAATTCCTCAGCACCACATAAGCAAAAAAGAAAAAAGCCAGAAGTGGCACTGTGGCTCAAGTGGTAGAGCGCTAGCCTTGAGCTAAAGAGCTGAGGGACAGCACCCAGGCCCAGATTTCAGGCCCCACGACCGGACTACAAAAAAAAATAAAAAAGAACAGGATTCCCTGATAGACAAACCAAGCCCAGGGACAGGCCTGAGGAGTAGAGAACTCTCTTTAATCCCATTAAGGCCTCTGTCTCAGTAAATAACTCAAGCTTGACTGGGTAAACCCTAGGCCAGCCTGGTGAGCTGAGGGTTTAGCCTAGTACCAGCCTTCACCAAGTGAGAGAATTAAGATTCATGAGCTCCCAGAACAGAGAGGAAATGAATGGTGCTATGATCTCTATGTACAGGAGAGCTCAGCTTAGCAGCTAAAAAAACAGCCTCAGGCTTACACAGAACAAGCCCCTGGGGCTGCAAAGGACTGCGTAGTCCAGAGGAGGCTTGCAGCTCCTGGGACCTTGGGTGATTTTCCACTCTGTGGGCTACCTGCCAGCCTCCTCTCTGGCAGCCTGGTCCTGGCTGCTACCAGGAGGCTCAAGCCAAGAGTGACTATGTCCTCTTACTACATTAGCCCAAGGACTGTCTTTCCCTTTGCCACTGTGAACTCAGACTTTAGTCTTCACATTAACATCACTCCTGGATCAGCAAACACTGCTGGGGGTGGAGGGTGGGGTAGGGGAGGAATGTTGTCTCCCAGGGCTATCACCACCAATGCACCCCAAGCAAGGAGCCAGTACTGCACTTTAAAGGGAGCCTGCATTCCCAAGGTGTGTCTTTTCACTATTTTTAAATCTATTAGATTTTGGCATCTAAATAAGCTCCCAGGAATATTTTTTTTTAAAACTAGCCCTGATGCTTGAACTCAGGGCGTGGACACTGCCCCTGAGCTTCTTTTGCTCAAGGCTAGCACTCTACCACTTGAGGGACAGTGCCACTTCCAGCTTTTCTGTGTATGTATTACTGAGGAATCGAACCCAGAGCTTCATGCATGCTAGGCAAGTATTCTACCACTAAGCCACATTCCCAGCTCCCAGGAATACTTTTACAAAGCAAATCATCACCCTCAGGCTTGTTTGGAGTAAATCCCAATTTTTTAGTGTCTTTTTTTTTTTTTTTTTTTAATTTAATTTTTTTGTGAACATACTGTACAGAGGGGTTACAATTACATGGGCAGGATAATGTGTACATTTCTTAACAAGTGTTGCAGCCTCCTCCTTTGTTTACCCTTCACATCCCTTCCCTACCTCCCCCCTCCCTCCCACCCAATCCTCCCCCCCCCCAATTTTTGAGTGTCTTTAAAGAAGAGGTTCCAGTGGCTAGTACTGTGTGTGGAGACCTGGCATCCCAGCCTCTGATGCCCTTTACCTCAGCATGCCCCTCTGAGACGATCTGGGGTTTCTCAAGTACCCTAGAGCTGACTACCAACCTGAGCAATGTCAGCCCAGGCCTAAAGCTGTCTGCGCCAGGTAGAGCTAGGGCTTTTTTGGGCTGTTTCTAGCTGCCCTGTGAGTAGCCAGTTTGAAAGATCTTTTTGTTCTCATCTCTCCTGCTGACCTTTCTAAGCTAAGCTGCCTACTTTTAACAATATCTAAACAGGGCCTCAAACAAACCCTGGCTTGGAAACAAGCTGCCTGAGAAGAAGCCAGGAAGCTGTTTATTCCATCTAACATAAAGCCTGATTGGCCAGAGACAGAGATGTGTGCAAGATGAGCCCAGCTTAGGGAGGACTCCAAGTGGAATGTGCAGGGAAGGCAAGCCCCTCTGCTCCACTCAATGGCAAAGGCAGTGGAGCACATTTTTCAAAGGCCTTCATCCTATATAGTCTTTCCAGTTTCTGATGATGTGTGTAAGGTCAGCAGGCTCCGTCATCCCAGGATAGCAAAAGGCCCTTAAGAAATTATCACAGAGGGCTAGGAATATCTCACTAGTAGAATTTTTGCCTTATATGCCTAAGGCCATGGGTTTGATTCTCGGTACCACAAAAAGCAGCATTGGAGGCCATTGTTTGCCCACAGGAAGCAGAAGACTTACAGTAAGCACCAGGGGCTCATATTTTTCTCCCCTTTAACTCTGACACTCCCAAGAAAGAAAATACTTGTCTTCCTACCTGCATGTACACCTATACTTTCCTTTCCTGGCCATTTGAATTGTACAATTCTTTGCAAATTGCCAACCGCAAAGCAACTGTTAATCATCAGTTTTGTTCACAATAAATACTCATGCAGTAAATTAAGAGTCTGACTGAATATCTTAATCATGGTTTTGCACAAAAGGGAACCCAGAGTCTGTTAAACTACCCATGTTCTTGA